AACCATTCAACCCACAGAACAAAACTCCATCAAAATCATCCACCTGAGCTACAAATCTTCTCCATTATTTCTATTTTGTTTAATATTTCTATGCTCTCTTTCACATACACACATACACATACACACACTCTCCCTCTTGCCCTCTCTCTGCTATATTGTTTCTCAGTAACTAATATGTAATCTGATTAGTATATACGCAGACAATTGAACTGGACAGTTGGTTTAAGGTCATTTCATATGAATCTAATAGTTTACAGATGTAGTACATTTCCGTTCTCTAAAATTATTGTGTTAATTAAAAGATAACACACTCACACATACATAAACACTTGAACAACAGTATTGTAATCATGAAAAAAATATGAGAAAAACGGGAAATGAAAGGTTAATTGAAGAGAATGATACTGCATAGATGAATAAGTGACATTGTATAATGATAAACTGTCAAATCATCTATATCCTTACATGGATAATTACACCCAACTTGTTGAAATCAGCATACTTTTTTAAAGCTTAGGTCATAAATAAATGATCAATCAGTCATACTATGTAGTTTCTTTGTTTGGGTTGATAGGGTTTTATTGATTTGATTCGTAATTCTTTAAGTAGTACAATACGTATAATCACCCGCAAAATGTTCTGGTACGAACGAGAGTGGGGAGGGTCAGCTCTCCCTCTCCGAATGCTCTCATATGATCACGCGCATACAGCCACTGACAGGGAAGTCCTATTTGCTACCTTCTTGTACCACATGTGTTGTTTACAAAACTAAGAGAACGAAAAGAGAATGTCCGAAGCTTTAACCGAGTTGATGGATACGGATGGTTCGGGTGGAAGAGTTGGAAAACCCTGATTCCAAACTAACAATGCTCGGAGATTCAAACTCAGTGTTAATATCAGGAATCTTACTGGAAAATCACTTCTGATCATGAATAACTTCACGTAAAACTGGGATGCCAACAGTTGCACATGATTAGTTGGCAAATAGGATCTTGTAATTTAAACAATCAGACTGATTGATTTCTATTTATCCGTCAAATATGTGTAAAAAATTAGTTTAAGTGATCAATGAGAGCTAACTGTGGTAATCTTTATCTAATCCTTACGGCTGATCGAATTCTATCAATCGAATCCCAGTTGAACCAAGACCAAGATATTAGGTTGTTAGAGGTAAATGACAGAAAACCCTAGAGTTATGTTTTGTTTTGGTTAGTACATAATAGTTAACAGCTGAATAGACCGACAATTACATCTTAAACTTTAATGCTAGGTAACATGATTGTATACCATGCAAACAACACCATTTCACTCAAGGTTCCAGTTAGCATAAAACATAAGTTATTACAGGATTTCCAGATAAACAGCTTCAATTGCCTAATATATTTGAAATTTTCCATCTGATTTGTAAATACTAGACAAAGTTAATGTTTCAAAAGTTTAAAAAAACTTAGGGAATAAAGATTTAGGTTACCCGAAGCCAGAATAAGGGATAAAATAATAAACAGCTTATTTGGATGTAATCAGAGTTGGAATAAATAAAAATATTATTACAATCTACACAAAACCACGTTCTGATAATAATCAGCATGGGCTCATTAGTGACCGGCTTCAAGATGTGTTTCTTGGAGTTCCAGTGAGTAAACATGACCAGTGGAGTCAAACGGTGTCTGTTGTGAAGTAGTTATTCACTGAAAATAATAATGAACAGTGGTGCAATTTTGTGGATTGGTTAAAGTTAGACATTAACACCGTAGAATGACGGCTCAGTGATCTGGAGGTTAAGCGTTCGCATACAGGACCAAAGTTCCTTGGTTCAACTTCTGAGTGTGGGATTGTAGATGTACATTGTTGTGGAGTCTCATACTAGAACGAAACGACCGTCCAGTATTTCTAAGCTTTCAGTGATTCTGTAGCTTAGACTGATACATGAATTCAACCATTAAATCACTAACATTTCCGCAAACCCTCATTCTAAAAAAATACTATCTGTCAATCATCAGTACATGCAAACTCAACAATACTACGTAATAGAAGATGAACATATCCAACATTCAGTATATTTTTAAATGTGATCAGTAACAAACTGAAACCATATAAGGTAACCAACCAGTTTACAGTGCTTAATCATTGTATAATTACTAAACTTTTCAGGTCCTTTTTCCATTCAATTAATAAGTGAGTATTGCATTTTAAAGAAAATTATGTAATTTTCTACTGACAAATTTTATTTTAAGCATTTAAAGATATTCAGGACGAAGCGCTGGAAGTGAATAGGACACACATTGAGGAAAACACTAAGTGACGTCACTACACAAGCTCTCACTTGGAATTCTCAGAGCCAAATGAAAACAGAAAGACCAAAGAACACATTACTTTGAAAAATGGAGACAGATATGAGAAGGATGAACAAAAATTGGATAGAACAGAAAAGGAAGGCTCAGGTTGAGTTGGTTGGAGAATGCTAGTCGGAGGCCTATGCTCCATTGGGAGCAAGTGACGTAAGTAAGTAAGTAGGATATAAATGTATACAGATAAGTGAAAATCCAATTCAAATTTAGACACTTTTTACCTTAACACTTTACTAAATCAATCATTTAACCTTGTAATATTGATTTATGATAGTAATAGAGAGCTAATCGTTTAACTTCAGTAACTAAGTAACTAATCATTTATCAAATAATCGAGTAATATTTCTTATACTTTCATTCAAACTGAATAATGATGTTTTAAATTCACTTGATGTTGTTTACTTGTCTCTTCTCAAACGTGATGACGTTTGAAGCGAACGGTACTGAGTTCGAGTCCCAGAATAAGCATCATTTCTGAAATACAGGTACATCTAGTTAACGAGTCCTAAATAGGACGAAACATGCGCCTTACTGTATTCCACTGCTAGCCACTATCCATCTTTGGATAATGATGTTGTTTTTATAAACTAGGACAGAATTGGAATGCCGGTGACTAAAAGTATCGAATGTTTACTACTCAAATAAAACAAGACTGTTTTTATTTCTACTAAGCAAATTGTTAAATCTAGCTTATTTACTATAAAACCAGTTAACAACAATATTCTGAAAACAAGAATTTTCTCTTAATAACATCAGTTAGGTCAAATTCATGTTTTATTCAAGAACTCGTCGATTTATTAATTGAATTCATGAATTAATTAAATCTAGACCACCATGGAAAGCCCGGAAACACTGGACAGCCATTTCGTCTTAGTATGGAACTCCTTCGCGGTGCACGTCCACCATTCCACAAGATTCGAACCCAGAACCTACCGATTCCGTGTGCAAACTCTTAACCTCCAAACGACTGGACCGTCATCCAACGGTGTTAATGTCTAACTTTAATCAATCCATGATTGATTTATTGAATAAGTCAATAATTTAAACCTCGATAATTGTTGATAATCATTTAATTACTACTTATGTAATGATGTGTCTTTCATTTTCACTGGTTTGGTGGTTAACATATCGATCCTTTAAGCATAATTAATTATTCAATATGTGAGAATTGAGTGAGGATGTTTTTTTCTGTACGAGTGGATACCGATTTGATTGATTCATCTATTTTTCTATTGATTGTTTGAATCTTCCCATTGATGTTCAAAACTACAATTGATCAGTCTCTTTTTCGAGATATGTACATCCTGTATAAATTGCCTTAACATTGCCTTAAATTACGAGCATTATGAACAGAGATGGATAATAGCTAACAATAGAATCCAGGCCATGTGTTTTGTCCCACTGTTAACTTGTAACTGCATTCCAGAATTGACGTTCACTCCAAGACTCAAACTCAGTGTCGTTCACTTCAAAGATTAACGTGTTACCTGACTGATTATTTTAGAGAATAAAAATTCAGATTTGTTGCATATAACAAACAGTCAGATCCATCAAACATGTGGATACGCTGTGATCAGTTAATAGATACCCTTTTAACTTTATCAGAAGACGTTTATTTGCTTTCTATTTCCTGGCATATTTCTCATGAATTATATGATTAGTTCAAACAAGCAGAGTAATCTATCAAGCACTGAAATAATTCTGACTTTCATTAAATTATCATTAAGGTGAAACTATAATTTATGGACAAACCAATCAGATTTATGATAACAAGTCTTGGATTTCAACACCAAATTCTTTATCCATTTAGTTAAATAGAATCTTGGCATTTTAACTGATGTCCATTCAAGATAAAATCCATCAATCTAATTCCTATCTCTAACCATCCATTATAAATCATAATGCTTATTGAGATGGTGGAGATTTATAGCTCAGGTGAATGATTTTGATGGAGTTTTGTTCTCTGAGGATGACCAAAACTATACACCTCAGAGAACAAAACTCCTTCAAAATCATGCTTATTGTTTACACAAATTTAAAACATTCATTTAATCCTAGTCAGTAGGTGGACATCGTTGGCCGGACACTGTTAGCAACAACCTACTGTGGGAGAGAACAAACCAGATGTCAGTGGAGGAAGAAATCAGGAAGAAGCGCTGGAAGTGTATAGGACACACATTGAGGAAAGCACCCAACTGCGTCACAAGACAAGCCCTCACATGGAATCCCCAAGGCCAAAGGAGGAGAGGAAGACCAAAGAACACATTACTTTGAGAAATAGAAATAGACATGAGGAAAATGAACAAGAATTGGATGGAACTAGAAAAGAAGGCCCAGGACAGAGTGGGTTGGAGAATGCTGGTTAGCGGCCTATACTCCATTGTGAGTAACGGGCGTAAGTAAGTAAGTAAGTGGGTGGACATTGTCAAAGACACTTTATCATTGCTCAATAGTCATTCATAAATTATAATCTCATCATAAAGTAATATTGACATTAATCAATAGTTGTTACTATGTTCTTGTTCTATTTTAAAAACAAACAAACAATCATAGTAACAATCAAAAAACGATTGTTTTAATCAATAATTATTATCATTAATAAAGTTTTTAAGAAAAAAAATGATAATAAAAAAGTAATATAATTAGACTTACTTCTAACCATGTAGCTAATGGCATAACTAATATTGCTAAACTAATATCAGCAATTGCTAAACTAACTATAAACCAATTTGTTGCATTTCTTAATGAACGTTCACGTATTACACTTAATACAACTAATGAATTACCAAATAATGTAGCAATTGAAAATATCATTAAACATAAACACCAATAACGTTTTTCTATATGTAATAAATAATTATATGTATTATTTAATGTATTATATATAATAGATTGATTATGAATGATATCATAATTATAAGTAGTATTATAAGTAGTATTAATAGTTATAACAATATTATTGTTCATTGAAATGAAATAATAATAGAAAATAATTGATTATTCATTCATTCATTCATTCATCATATTTGATTTCAATAATCATATAATTCCATGGTTATTTCTGTTTTATGAATATGAATTGAGGTAAACATTCCCAATAGATATATATTTTCTTTAAAAAAACAATCCATATTTCTGGAAGAAGAAGAAAACAATGAGATAATACTCAATACACAAAGATATCATAACATGTTTGTTCTGTTTTTTTTGTTGGTTTTTTTTGTTTGTTTGTTTTGAGAAATCGGGAATTATTTTATTTTTGTAAATGAGGCATAGTAATAAATCAACATTCTGATTGGTTGAATAGTTTCAACCAATCAGAATTTTCGATACGAAACAAAAAACGATTACTATCACCAAAATCATATTGACCAATCAAATGAGAGTTAGATTTATTAGTTCAGGGGTTATGGAGATTGTTAAGTTTTTGATTGAAATCATGAGTCAATTGAAGCTGGACCACCATGGAGAACTTGGAAGCATCGGACGGTCGTTTCGTCCTAGTATGGGACTCCTTAGCAATGCGCATCCACGATCCCGCACCACACGAGATTCGAACCCAGGACCTAACAGTCTCGAGCCAGGCACTTAACCAACTAGAACAGTGAGCCAGCATTCAATGGTGTTCATGTCTAACTTCAACTAATCGACGAAATTGGGCGACACATTCTCAATTGTCTTCAGTGAGCTACTATCTCACAACAGACCTGGTTGGACTCTACTGATCACTGTTTCTCACTAGAACACCAGGAAATCCCTCTTGAAGTCAGTCACTAGTGAGCATATGATGATTATAATCAGAGAGGGATTTTGTGGAGATTGTAGTAAATTCAATAGCTGATTTCAACTACTGAAATTACTACAATCTCCACAAAACCCCTTCTGATAAAAAATAAGCATTGTATACTTGATTATGTATGTATATTATTCCAAATTACCTTATTATAAATTAAGTTCTCAAGGTATTCTATGTCAAAAATAAAGTCTACGAACATATAAATGAACAATAATTATGTCAAGTAAGAATGGTATTGATAAATAGTACAAGAAATCATTCAATCTATAGTAATAGTAACTAATTGTCATAGCATCCTTAGAAAATACAATCTCAGAACAATGATGTCAATGACATGACAGCCTGCTATACTACTTATTTATTTTACCCTAAATTATCATGTTCAATATGTTTGAAAAGAAATTCAATTGTTATTCTGCCATCCCCATTGACTAATTTATTCTCTCTAAATAAAATTTCCTCAAAATCATATAAGACATAGAAACAATGGACATATTTCAAACCATTAAGACACTTTTTAAATCACAGAAAAACCTATTGAATATATATATTTACTTCACTGGTGGAAATCATGAGTCAATTGAAGCTAGACGACTATGGAAAACCTTAGAGGAGTGGACGGCCCTTTTCATCCCAGTATGAGACTTCTAAGCAGTGAGCATCCACGACCAAGTAAATTCACTTTCATTACATGATTATATAATCCAATTGATAGAAACTATATTGTCATATTGCCTTAATGTATTTATTTATTTGTTTTCTAATAGAAATAAAAGACCGACATAAATGACGTAATTCCTTATTACAAATTGGTGACCAAGTAGTTTCAGTTGTTTTTTTATCATTTTTTTTCTTTTCATTTTTTCGACGCCAAATCATTGTCTTCATTCTTAGTATTTTGCCTTATTCACAATGCCAATCAACCTATCAACAACAACAACAAGAACCAGAACAAACAAACAAGAAATATACACTTACACACAAGCAGTAACCAAATCAATATTAATATAAAGAACGTAATATTTTGTATTTTATATTGATGTATTTATATACATTGAATTAGTAACCAAGTGGGATTGAATTGTATCACATTGTTTCAAATTTGTGTTGTTTGTTTGACATTTGGTAACAAAGAAAAATTAAGTGATTTTCATATTTTAAAAATAATGATGATAATAATAAAAATGAAATTATACGACTATGACGATGATGATGATGATGATGATGATGATGATGATGATGATGATGATGATGATGATGATGATGATGATGATGATGATGATGATGATGATGATGATGATGATGATGATGATGATGATGATGATGATGATGATGATGATGATGATGATGATGATGATGATGATGATGATGATGATGATGATGATGATGATGATGATGATGATGATGATGATGATGATGATGATGATGATGATGATGATGATGATGATGATGATGATGATGATGATGATGATGATGATGATGATGATGATGATGATGATGATGATGATGATGATGATGATGATGATGATGATAACCGGTGCTTTCAACGTGGTATGGTCACCGGCGAACGAATGTCAAGATAGTTCTACTGTACGGAGCTGAAACTTAGAGAACTACTTCAATCGTCATCAAGAATACACAAGTATTTATAAATAATTGTTTAAGCAAGATACACAATATCCATTGGCCGGATACCATCAGCAACAACCTACTGTGGGAGAGAACAAACCAACTTGTAGCTGAAGAGGGCATTATGAAACGACGATGGAAATATGTAGGACATACAATACGCAAATCATCAAACTGCATCACAAGACAAGCCCTAACTTGGAATCCGAAAGTGAAGAAGAAATGAGGAAGGCCAAATTACACACTGCTACAGGAAATAGAAGCAGATATGAAAAGGATGAATAACAACTGGAAAGGATTTCCCAGGACAAGGTTGGATGACGAGTGCTGGTAGGCGGTCTATGTTTCTCCACGAGAAGTAAGAGGCGTAAGTAATTAAGTAAGTAGGGATGAGGATGATGAATAATGATCTTCAACAGGGTGTTGGACTGTTGATAAAATGATATGATTATGACTGGTCAAGAAACGACGTCTAAAGAAGGCACGGAGTCATGAGATAAGGTTGCTTTAAGAGTTTAAGTGTTAATAGTACAAAGTTTAGGAAAATAGATTTACGATGGCAATACTACAAAAGTCTACATTCTTTGTAATTTCACCTTGGCATTTACAAAATCTTCATTCTAATTAGCTAACTTTTGACTTGTTTGTCTCAAGGTTACCCTTAAAATTACTCGGGACCGCCAGTTCGGTTCTATTTTCATCAAGAAAAAGTAGATTAACTGACTGAAGTTATTTATAAGTGTCGTAATTTTATCTTAATCAACTGTGGTCCACTCTTTGTATTGATAACCGTGGCTAGACGAGAAATGATAGGAATTTCTTTACAACAAAAAGTTCCCGTTTCTAATTATGAATTCCGAAGAAAAACACATAAACTACACAGTAAGGTTACAGGGTTAAGTCAAACAACTCAGAAAACTATACTTAACATTCTGTCCTTAATTTAACATAATTATCATTTTAGAGCGGTCAGGCAAGATGGTGTTGAGAGGTACTACGATTTATTTGACAGATCATACCCCCTATTTAACATGATTCAACAATAACAGTTTAATTGAAACATAATAATAGATGTGACAAATCCAGAAAGTCTATATTTGAGTTTATTACTACTAGACTAATGTAAAATACTATATTTCGTTTGACTATTGTGAACTTTTTTGTTATGAATCTTCAAGTCAATTGTGTCAATCTCTCATAAATAACATCGTTGTGAAACTATGGTTTCAGAATGATTTTCTTTAAATACTTCGATTCCGTTGACCAAACACTATCAGTAACCACCTACTGTGGAAAAGGACAAACCAAGTTCCAGAGTAGGAGGAAATCATGATGAAGCTCTGGAAGTGGATAGGACACACATTGAAGAAAGCACCAAATTACGTTACAACACAAGCCCCCATTTGGTATTCTTCAGGCCGAAGGAAAAGAGAAAGACCAAAGAATACATTACACCGAGAAATGGAGATGGATATGAAAAGGATGAACAACCATTTAATAGAACTAAAAAGGAAGGCCCAGGATTGAGTGGGTTTGAGAATGCTAGTCAGTGGCCTATGCTCCATTTGGAGTAACAGACCTAAGTAAGTAAGTTAATTCATAATAAATTAGCGAAATCGAATATATAAAATCGAAGAGCTTGTTATTCTATTCATTAGATTTAATTACATAAGGTTGGAATCGAGAAAAACATGAATACAATTTTCGGCCCAAAAATTAATTAAGTTTCAGAGTTTAAATCATGAACCGATCTCAGTTAGACCACCAGTAAAAACCAGGTGGCACTGGAAAACTGTTTCATTCAAGTTTGGAAATCCTCGATGGTAAACAATTATAGCCTCTAGTTCCGTGGCCAGAGCATAACCCGATGGAAAACTGATCGCTTCTCCAAATTCAAGCGGTACTCAATATTATGTGACCAACTGCCATTGCATGTTGTGAATAATTGTCCTACACCCGATACTGTTGAACTCCACTTATCATGGTTTCTCACTGGTAGGTTGTGATGTAAGTTATGAGTATTTGGCGTTATCTAAAAACTCTCTGTACTAGTAAATCATTTTGATAGGAAGTTTAGAAGACAAGGATGATTCGAATTTCATCATAATTACTATTTAAAAGAATTAATTTTAATTTTTTTACATTTCATTAAAATCATGAACCGATCATAATTAGACCCCCACCGAAAACCTAGAAGTACTGGATGGCCGTTTGGTTCTTTTATTGTACTCCTCAGCAGTGCGCATCCTCTATCTTTCACATGGGACTCGAACTCAGAAACTTCGATCACGAAAGAACCCTTAACCCTTAGACTTCTAAGTTGGTATCAGACAACGATAGATAGATTCATCTTCTCACTAAAATTCAATAATCTCTACATATCTATGCTGAAAGCTTTTTCGATAATTTAGTTCCATTCTCTTTTAATGGTATGATACAATTTTATTTGCTTGTATATGAGCTGCGTATGTCTGAAATACATGATTGATACAATGGCCGCTGAGATTTATGTACTGAAGTTGAACGGACAGGGCTAGACGAA